GAGAGACAACAAGGCACGTTGGTACAGAGGTCGGTTTTGTCTACAGATCTATTCCAGAGTAACATAAGTTTATATGTGAAGGTATTGTCTACAGATCTATTCCAGAATGACATAAGTTTATATGTGAAAGTTTTGCTGCCTGTGGGGAAGAGATTTCATGAGGCCAGGTGTGCGATGTGGTTCTAGAAATTTACACTCCACCAAATATTTGTCCATGCAGCCTGTGTGACGTAAACTGATTGTCTTTCTTCCCCTTACACTGAGAGGGAGGGCTGTGGGAGCTGAACAGCAAATAAATCTGTTAAAAAATCAGAATCAGGGTGTTGCAATCATATTTTCATAAAATTGATAATCAAAACTAGTAAGACCTACTAGTCGGGATCTCCAACCACCCACACGGCAGAAACAACGAGAAATAAGTTCAGTTTTAGTAAGGTTTTACGGCGCTTGCAACTGCGTAAGAACAAGAAAGAAAAAACAGAAACAACATATCAAAAACAACGTATCAAAAACAAAGCATCAAAAAGCAAACAGACTGACCGGCGGTCACTGGCACAGGTTTGGGTAACAACATGACGGCCTGCTCCCAGTGGGTCGGCGTCACCTCGGGCCCCGTGCTGAAACTGATCTGTAACACAGGGAGAGAAAAAATATATCTGTGATGTGATGTCACAATAGACATCTAACACAACAGACATCTAACAATAGACAGAAATATCTGTGCTGTGACCATACAATAGACATCACAGTTACATGTAACACAAGTACAAATACAATAGACATCACAGTTACACGTAACACAAGGACAGAAATATCTGTGCAGTGACATCGCAATAGACAACACATAAAACTATAACTACAGAACAGGAGAGGCAATAAAACTATAACTTTAAATACTGAACAGGAAAACCAATAAAACTATATAAAACTGAACAGGAGAGCCCATAAAACTATAACTAAAAAAACTGAAGAGGAGAAGAAATAACAACAATATAATACTGAATAGAAGAAACAATAAAACTACAACAATATAATACTGAATAGAAGAAACAATAAAACTACAACTATAATACTGAATAGAAGAAACAATAAAACTACAACTATAATACTGAACAAGAGAAACAATAAAACTACAACTATAATACTGAATAGAAGAAACAATAAAACTACAACAATATAATACTGAATAGAAGAAACAATAAAACTACAACTATAATACTGAATAGAAGAAACAATAAAACTACAACTATAATACTGAACAAGAGAAACAATAAAACTACAACTATAATACTGAATAGAAGAAACAATAAAACTACAACTATAATACTGAATAGAAGAAACAATAAAACTACAACTATAATACTGAATAGAAGAAACAATAAAACTACAACAATATAATACTGAATAGAAGAAACAATAAAACTACAACTATAATACTGAACAAGAGAAACAATAAAACTACAACTATAATACTGAATAGAAGAAACAATAAAACTACAACAATATAATACTGAATAGAAGAAACAATAAAACTACAACTATAATACTAAATAGAAGAAACAATAAAACTACAACTGTAATACTGAATAGAAGAAACAATAAAACTACAACAATATAATACTGAATAGAAGAAACAATAAAATTACAACTATAATACTGAATAGAAGAAACAATAAAACTACAACAATATAATACTGAATAGAAGAAACAATAAAACTATAACTATAATACTGAATAGAAGAAACAATAAAACTACAACAATATAATACTGAATAGAAGAAACAATAAAACTACAACTATAATACTGAATAGAAGAAACAATAAAACTACAACTATATAATACTGAATAGAAGAAACAATAAAACTACAACTATAATACTGAACAGGAGAAACAATTTTATAAAACTATAACTACAGTACTGAACAAGAGAAGCAATAAAACTATAACTACAGTACTGAACAGGAGAGACAATAAAACTATAACTATAGTACTGAACAGAAGAGTCAACCTTTTTCTGGCAGCCAGCAGCGAAGTCTGTGATGAAATAACCGACCACTGCGGTAACAGTAGCATCTTTGACACATCGGAGACTGAAGTCTGCAGCAAAGTCAAGCTCCGACACTTTGCAAGTCATTACATCAATGTCCTGTGTGTGAAATGGAGACAATCGAAACGAGAGACCTGATTAAAAGAGCCAAAAAAGCTCTCGCAAGGAATCATCTTCATCACTATCATCATATTGTCACCAACATCATCACTATCATCATATCGTCACCATCATCATCATCACTATCATCATATTGTCACCATCATCATCATCACTATCATCTTATCCTCACCATCATCATCATCACTATCGTCATATTGTCACCGTCATCATCACTATCATCATATCGTCACCATCATCATCACTATCATCATATTGTCACCATCATCATCATCACTTATGTCACAATCTTCACCATTCTAGTAAACTGTAAGCACAGTTTTGTCCCTATAGATGTATCTCGTTTTGTCTCTATAGATGTGTCTCGTTTTGTCTCTATAGATGTGTCTCGTTTTGTCTCTATAGACGTGTCTCGTTTTGTCTCTATAGATGTGTCTCATTGTGTCTCTATAGATGTGTCTCGCTTTGTCTCTATAGATGTGTCTCATTGTGTCTCTATAGATGTGTCTCGCTTTGTCTCTATAGATGTGTCTCATTGTGTCTCTATAGATGTGTCTCGCTTTGTCTCTATAGATGTGTCTCGCTTTGTCTCTATAGATGTGTCTCGTAAAGCTCAAAGAGTCATTTCTACCTAATCTCAAAGGCATGCAACATTCAAAAGAAAACAAAATGAAGACATGGGTACATCAAACAGACTCTTCCATGGGGAACAACTCCACGACACTTTGACAGCAATATACAGGCAAATCTGAGAGGTGCTCATGCTGTTATTTATATTGTCCTTGTTGTTTTTTGTATTCTTGTTTTTGTATTGTTGTTGTTGTTGTTGTTGTTGATCTAGTAAACTTTGAGCGGGGGCTCTCGTGGCCTAGAGGTTAAGGTGTTGGCCTCTCATTCAAAAATCCCGGGTTCGAATCCTGTAGCGACCGAAAAATTTTCTTCTCTAAAATTGTCTCCTTTCACCTCCTTTCCTGCTCTCTAGCAATGTTCTGTTGTCTGCTTTCATTTCCACTTTCTGCCCCCACCCCCTCACCTCCTTTGCCCCCTCCTCTGGGCTCCTGTCTCTTTCTGCAGCCTTTCTACTGCTACTCCTTGGCTCCTCCTCACTGCTGTCTTTCTGCCACACTCCTGATCTTCTGGTAGGAAAGATCTACACCTAGCCTTCTCGGACAAGGGCGAAAAATCTCGGAGGGCCCGTGTGCAAGTTGCGCACATTAAAGATCCCTTGGTGGTCTAAAATCGATAAGAGTAGGCTTCGGCCGCCACCCGTGCAAAATTCAAAATTTCCTACCAACTGAAAATATTAGGTGTGTCCCGCACGCTCATATGACCTTATGCAGTTGCGAGCGCCGTAAAACACTTTACAAAAACAAAAAAAAGACTTTGAGCATGTTGAGAAAGGAGGTGGTCTTCAACTGATGCTATTATTAGTACCGGTATTCATTTACAACACCACATTTGCTACATCCTGATGAGTAAGTCGACAGCACAAGGAGAGGCACAGTCAGTGTCATGGATGGTCTTCATCAATCTGACACAAGGTTGTTGTTGTTGTTGTTGTTGTTATCGATCCAGCAACATCTGGGCTCTCGCCCTTCTGTCCAATGCCATGTAGTGATAAGTGCAGGTTTGCTGCAGTTGCTGTAATGTTCCGTAGAGTGTGTTGTCAAAGTTAGGTCTCGGAAGGAGAAGGGTAGCTC